TTTTTTTTTTTTTTTTTTTTTTTTTTTTAAAAAAAAAAAAAAAAAAAGTACTCCGGACCTTTGATGATCAAATACATTCGAACTAGATCGATTTAGTAAAGATGCACGTATAAGCAATGAAGTAATGGATGCACGTATATCGTTATTATTAAATCATTCGATATTATTTGATAATTTATTTGAATATTTGTACGATATTTATTCGATATTTTATTCGATATTATTTGAATATTTATTTCGATGTCATATACTTATATACTTATATACTTATATACATGTATACTTGTATACTTATATATTTATATATTTATAATTATATAATATAATTATATCTTATATACTTATATCTCTTTTCATGCATAATGATAACATTTAATCTTTTTTTTTAACGTGCATTTCCTTGTTTCATCTTTAAAAACTTTTTTGAAATACCTTTCGGAACCTTTCGTATCCTTTTGTAGCCCTTTTCGTAACTTTTCGTAGTAATAGGAACTCGGGTAAATTTATTCTAAGCCTTAAATACCATACAAAGAAAAACCATATCCAAAGAAATTCCGTATATGTGTAACAAATGAAGTAATTAATATAATAAATATGTCATATTTGATTCATATTATTTATAACGATAGGATATGAACGAAAGTTATACAAATAATGCAATATTAACTTTTTATAAAATCACCTCATTTCCTTATTTCCCTTATTTCCCTTTAACGGATTGTTTATTCTATAAATACTTAGTTTTTTTTTTTCAAACAGCATTTATAATTATAATAATAATACTCTCTCTCTCCCTCTCCTCTCTTTGGAATATCGGGTTTTGCTTATTTTATAATTACCCTTTTTTTAACGACATCGTAGATCTTTATTTCGGTAATACATTTCTAAATAGGAGATTTTTTGATTATCAAAAAATATTATCGATGGAAAATTTAGAGAATGTGGTAAGTATTTGGATCCTTACATAATTTCAGCCACCACAAAGAAATAAAAAAAAAAATACAGCCAAAGAAGGAATTAAAAATTCATTCCAAATTATGCGCAGTATATCAGATCATCAATATTCGGAGACTTTATTGTTGTATTATCGAATGTTATATGATATGTATATAATGTATATAATGTATATGATCGTATATATGATCGTAAAAAAAAAAATAAGGAAAAAAAAAATTTCCCACAAAAAAAAAATCGTAAAATTACGTAAATCCCATGAAACGTTAATCAAAAATGTGCCATATTTGTGAAACGTAAAACGACCAAAGAACGTTTTGTATAATGAATACTAATTAGGATAAATCATGATCAAAGGTATCAAAGGTACTAGACTATTAAACATCAAATAAAGGGAGAAGGAGGAGGCTTAGAAAAATTTATTAGGGTTAATTTTATTTTTTATTTTTTTTTTACGGTTTTTTTTTATTATTATTTGTTTTTTTCTTAAAAGAAAAAAAAAAAAAAAATAAAAAAAAACAGATGTAATTTTTTATATAAAACTTTCTTTCAAAAAAGGTTAATGAATGATTTTTCTTTTTTAATTGATAACTTTGTTTTTGTTATAAACATTTTGTTCAAAAAGGAAGCTTTTTTTTTATAAAATTTTAAAATTTTTATAAATAAATGCACGCCCAATTTTTTTTTAGCATTTTTAGCACTAAACAAGATTTTTTTTGTGACTAAACTAATTTTTACTCACGCCTCAAAAAACATTGTCATGCATGATCTGTTTTTTTTTTCATTATTATTATTACATTATTAAAAAAAAATTTACTATAAACGAATATTTTCTTTTTTTTAAAAAAAAAAA